ACTTCTCCGCCATGACTCGATTGGACCACAACCGCGCCACTGCTCAGGTTGGTGGCCATGGAAAACGTGAAAAATAAGCTGGAGAAGGGACTTAGCGTTTGACCCATTAGCACAAATGTGTCGGTATGTAAGGAACAGTAACCAGTAAGAACTCAACTTGTCAAATTTAGGCAGCGTTCAGAGTTCGCGATGACGCGCGTTGACGACGCGAACGCAGCCGCAGACGGCCGGCGACGATCGATTCGCGTCTGCGCCTGCATTCGCGTCTACAGTGTTGGAGCGCTGTTGCAATTGTAGCGCGCCGACGCGTTACAGTGGGTTACAGCGCGTCGACTCGCGTCATCGCGAAGTCTGAACGCTACCTTAGGTGTCTTTTCAAAAGCATTTATTTATTTATCGTGAGGTGACAACATAACAATAGAAACCTGTTCTCGCTATGTCTTGCTCACTTCCCATTGTTTTGTTTACAGCTGGCAATGAAGGCTGGAGTTGGAGTCGGTGACGTGAAGAACGTGATCATTTGGGGAAATCACTCGAGCACTCAGTTCCCTGACGTCAAGCATGCCACCGTCACGAAAGGTCCGTGAGAGGGTTTTTCCATTATGAACCGTAGATATTTACGAAAAAAATCCATGCAGGGTCAAATTCGCTGTCCTTATCGGTTGTGTGGGCGGAGTCGGGCCTACCACTGGGCCTTCGCCATTGGCGCACTCCTACCTTTTGTCGATTTAGACGAAAAGGGGTGCAGGAATGTTGAAGGCTGGGTGGATGTCCTACTCCGCCCACTCGGTCACCGTGACCATGCCTTCAAGAGCTCCTTCGACCTTTCTTTCTCTCTACTGCGTTATTTTTGTGCAGTAGACAAATGAACTCCTGTTCAGGAGGCAGTGCTGTCGATGCCTACACTGCCGTCAATGATACCGCCTTCCTGCAGGGTCCTTTCATTTCGGTCAGTGCTGGCCCTTTTCATCAAAAAGATCGAGAAAATCACCATGAATTTCCAGACTATCCAAAAACGAGGCGCTGTCATTATCCAAAAGCGAAAGCTGTCATCGGCTATGTCAGCTGCCAAGGCGGCTTGCGACCACATCCACGACTGGCACTTCGGTACCAAGCCTGTGAGTTCCTTTTGGTCCTACCGTAGTACAAGCTCCCTAGTTTTCCGCGTGTACTATCTAATTTCCAGGATGAATGGGTCTCTATGGCTGTCCCATCTGATGGCTCCTACGGTATTCCAAATGGTCTGATGTTCTCGTTCCCAGTCACCATTGATGGTGCGACGAAGGAGTGGAAGATCGTTCAAGGCCTATCACTCGATGACTTCGCCAAGGCCAAGATGGCTGAAACTCAGAAGGTGCGAGCGCTGACTTTCATCAGTTAGCCAGCGATAAAAGTAGTTTCTTTAAGGAACTCGAAGAGGAACGAGACGATGCCTTGAAGGCTTGCGATGCTGCCAACATGTAAGCAGCCAGACCGAGCGCGTGTAGGGCTCTTGCCTCATTCCGGGGTTTTAGCTGACTCTACTTTTAGAATATCGTCGTTTTAGATTGTTTTATATCTCGCATGCTATAATATAACGGTTGATAATGTTTAAGTTTTTATTTCCAATAAATATTCTAAAAAGTGAGGAAAATCACACTCTTCTTGGAATTGAATGACCATAAAGAGAAGGGTGACCTGTGAGAGAAGTAGGCTGCAGTCGGTTTCAAGGCACTTTCCGCGCTGATCATACGGGCGGAGTCACGTGAACAAAGAGGCCTTTTCGTTGGTGGGCAAAA